GACAAATGCTCTTCTGATGATACTTTAATGCTCCTATGGCTGTACTAGTCAGTCAGGACTGGCTAGAAGTGGTCCCTGGAAGAGGGAATAGTGTGAGCCTGCATGGGAAAAGGTGGTATTTGCCATGCAAGGCATTAAGCAGCAGGAGTTTGGACAGCATAGGACATTGTGGTCAGCTGGTGATGGTCCTCTGGACTCTGGCCAGGTTAGAAGATGATACTTAGAGGCAGGATTTCATCCTGGCACTTGGGCAGCATCTTTGAGAGCCCAGGCCCTTTGCATGTCAGTACCGAACAAATGTGTAACTAAACCATGCTGCTTTTCTGTTACACGTGTGCTGCTCTCTCCTTTATTAGATTGGCTTCTTCTCTTTTTTTTCCCCCCTTTATTTTCTTTTTTCTGACAAAATGCTCTTGCGTACCTTTCTTTAATAAACATTGACTACTAGGGTCATGATGCTCTGGCTTCAAGTACTGGTCAGCCACAGAGACACCTGTCCAGCTCAGGTAAATGGCTCTTTGCAGTATTTCCACGTTCTGAGGCTTTCCAGTATAGGTACAAGCTCCAGACAATGACTGTTGAGCAATGCTGCAGAATCTGGGGCCCAGATCTCTCCCAAGAACCACTCCACCCATGCCAACAGCACAGTAGTCCTATCAGGTATGAATTCACATTATCATTTAAGCAAAAGTATACACAGGCTCGCTCTGTGATGGTCTGAAATATGTCAGTACAACTTAATATCTGAGGGCTGAAATACACTGAGTTGCTAAGACAAACATTTGGTATCAGTTTTTGAAATTTCACTGAAACTGTTGACTCTCACGCTCATGGCAGCACTGCTCAGAAGTTCACTAGCTGGGATGGGTTTAACCTGACACACCAATTTTGGCTTTCGCTGTCAATATTACAAATACACTCATCACGCTGCAGCCATGTCCTCCACTCAGCACACTGCAAAGTTATCTACTCCTGCTGAATGCAGCTTCTTTCAGCCTATTTGTTATCCTCAGGGGGTGGTGACCAGACCTCCATGGAACACTGTGGGGTTGTGCTCCTTCCTGGGAAGCTCTGACAGGACGAGTCCAGGCTGCAGGGGAAATGGTTTGCCCTTCACAGTCACCTTTGCCACTTCCAGCTTAGCCTGATGGACTCTCAGGGACATGCAGCTGAAGTTCAAGGCCTGAAATACCTGCTTCCACAGGCAGGGCAGCCCACAGTCTGACTTTTGGTTAGAAAGCAGTTTTTTGCAGATGTCAGCTTCATGTAAAAGAACAAGCCTTTTACTCCTTCATGTAAAAGAACAAGTCAGGGTATAAGAGTAAGGTCAAGAACATGTAAAAATATTTGTATACAAGCATTTCTGCTGTCTGTGTGTGGTGCTGAGGAGCACGTGGGTGTTGCTGGTTAACCTGGAGTTTACAGGAATCATACAGAAATGAGTGTCAGAAACCTGGGGCTAGCCTGGTTGAACCCCCAGGACTGCTCCAGCATTCATTCCTTAGCTGTACTTGTTTAGGCAAACCAGACGAAAAGTACCTGATTTAGTCTGAAGAGGGAAGTTGGAGTACAAGGTAAACATGTATGGGCAGCACTCTTGAGCAGCTTGACTTTCAAGTTTCCTGAGAACAGTCATGCCCACAGAGTTGGTAATGAGAAGGAATTTGTTTGCTGAAGGATCTCTGAGGCTCTGTGCTTCTTTTCCAGGTGGGGACATTCAGACAATTGATGAATGAAGCATTTTCTGTCTGGGACAGTAAATATTTAACTGGAAAGTTTAAAAAGGTCCACACTTCTTTCAAGGCCTTCTCGAAGAAAGCGTCTTCCCTGCAGTCACAAAACAAAAAGCACAGAAAAGAGGGCAGAGCCTAAGAGACAGGGAAATCAGAAAAGCTGTGTCCCTTTGTGGTGCATGGTAATCCTGCATCACCTGCACTACAGCATGTGCAAAAAACCTGCAGCACCTGCCTCTGACATCTGCAACACGCTGCAGAGCATTTCTGCCTCCCTGTTCAGTTTTATTCAAGCACCCCCAAAATCCCATTTGTCACATTAGATCTAATCACTGAAGGTTCAGTGCTTTTCTTTCCTTGGACAGTCAAGCAACACAAAATGTGGCCTGCCTAGAAAAGTGAAGAGAAAGGCCAGGTTTTCACATGAAAATGTCTTTCTCAGGTTTTTCCACTGTTTGGTCTGGCAGCTTTTGGACATGACACTGGCATCAGCAAGTACTTGGAACTTTTTGGCATGCAGTCTTTAGTGACCTGATAGCTAGGCCATCAGGATGCATCAGGATGGTTTGTTACAGCATCCTAGCAGGGAGAACTGTGCCCTTTGGAGGCCTGATCCACGTGGCAGCAGGACTTAGTGATTTGAGCAGAAACGAGTTGCCTTCAAGCATCAAAACCAGCTGAATCCTCCCTTTCACTAACTAGGTTTTATTTTGCGGTTCATTCTGGAAAAGTAGCTGCTGATCAACAGTCTTAACAGTTGTTCTGTGACTGAATCGATGTGTCTCACGTTGTATCCTATGATTGTACTGACACAGGCTGTGTGTGCTTAAGGCCACACCACATTTTGTAGTCAAGCACAGTGGAAAAGAGAAGACCCTGAGGTCAGTGTGCCCCCCATTCCAGCCAACTCAAGGGCCTTCACATCTCCAGCAGGATGCACCCATGTCACTGGTGAAATGCCTGCCTAACTGAGCTATGACAAGGAGGCTTGAGTCCACACTTAACCACTCAACAGCTCACACAAGTGGAGACTGGAAAGAGTGTTCTTAGGAAGGTAACGCAGCCTGTTGACTTGAGAGCAGTGCATCTCTTCAGAACTAAGCACCAGCAAGAGGAGCGTGGGAAGGACAGAAATAAAGGACCAAAGGGATCTACCGGGAGTTTAAGTGGGCTTTCTCTTGGGATTGCCATTTCTCGGCAGCACATCTCCAGTGGTCTTGATGGTGGGGTGTTGGCTGGGTCTCTGGGTTCTTTTCTGCAGGGTGATACACTTTCTTGTTCAAAGTGGTCAGAAGTAATCCTTTTGTACCTGAGTGACCCATGATGGGAGAGGCATTTATGAGAAAGCTACACCAGGAAGAGGTGGCAAAAATAAAAGAAGAAGAAAATACTTTGATGGAACAAGAGGGTATGCACAGCTTAATAAACAGTAAGGGGTGGAAGAGAAGGGTGCTGTGCTTGTTCAGCCTGGAAAAGAGAAGGTCAGGAGGGTACCCAGTTTCTGTAATCCATTCCACTGCCTTGCAGGTTACATAGGAGAGACACAGACTATCCTCGCAGGTTCACAGGGAAAAGACAAGAGGGAGTGGACACAGGTCGCAACAGGGAAAATTCTGGTTGGACATACGAAAAACCCCTCCTTTTACAAGAGTGGTGCAGGTCTGGGACAGGCACCAGAGAGATGATGAGATCTCTGTCCTTGGAGATTCTCCAGACAGACAGGGTAAGGCCCTGACCTAGTTTTCGTGAGCCCTGCTTTGATCAGGTAGGTGGGCTTAAGACCACCAGATGTAAATCTTTCTGTGACTCTTTGAGGAACTCCACAGTGATCCTTCTGAGACATCTTTCAACACCATGAGCTGTAGCAACAGTATGTTGTAGAGGTGCCTGTATGAGGATAGAGCCTGGGCCTTGGGATGATGGAGGGATGTGCACATGCCTCCTACTGAGAAGTGCCAAACACTTCTCTTTTGCTGTCCTTCCCATCACCCCCTGGTGGCTGTTACCTCAGAAAAGCTAAACCTTACACCCCATGTGCCTCGTGGCCATATGTAAAAAGTTATGTCATGGCACACAACTGGTGTTTGATTTCTGTACAGTAAAGCCTGTCATGTCACTGATCTTTGGAGGAACAGCCATGACACGGCCAAAATAGCCTTAGACCTCAGCTGCTGGCAATTTCTCTACGCTCTGCAGCAGGTGGGAAGGGGCATGAAGGACACAGAGAAACAAGGGTTCTGCAGAACAGGAAAGGCAGCAATGAATCTGTTGAGCAGGGCTCAGCTAGAAGTTTCCACTGACTTGGAAAGGATCTGCTGAGTTTGCAGTGGGATGCCGCACTAAAGGCTGCATGGGGAATGAAAATCAGGAAACCCAGGCAGGTTTTGTCTCTACTGCAGAGAGCACAGGTAGGAGGTGTTGTCTGAGTTAACTGGCTGAATGCAAAGCCTTGTGGTAGGCATGTGCTTCTATTCCTCCACTGTTTGATAAGGCCTTGAGCCCACAGACTTCTCCAGAGCAGAGGTGACCCCCTCCTGGGCTTATACAGTGTGAGAGGCACTGGCAGAGGGGCCTGGCTGAAGAGGGAACTGTGTGCAGTCCTTTTTCCTGGAAGAGAATCCAAGATGGGGAAAAGATAGGGCTTTAGCAGCAGATAAGCCAGCGATACCTTCGTCGCAGGCCTCCAGAAGGATGGAGGCAAGTAGACAAGTGGAAGTGAGAGATCAAGCAAGGCTGGGATGGCATAGGTAGGCTGTGGAGGCTTATGGAGATGGTCTGGAAGTAATCAGAGCTGTCACTGGCAGCGTGTTTCTCAATACATTTGTCTTTCATGCCTGTGAGTCACCAGCAAGCCGGAGGAACAAGAATCCCCCCCCACAGAACTGTGTGTGAGCTGTCCCTGTGAAACCGTGGAGCACAGTGCCACTGGGATGTCATATGGCAATACCTGGTTGCAAGTAGCTCTGTCCACTGGGAATTGGCTTTCCATGAGTGTTTAAGCCTGAATTTGAGCTTCAGTGGAAGACCTCTTTCTTCATTACTCTTTAAACATTTGTCTTTCAACTGTAAAGGGTTTTTAACAAATCCTGCACAAAATTTTTCAACTATTTTTAACAAAAAACCCCACACACCTAAGTTTACCACCTTTCAACAGAGGATTTGACATTTTTAGAGGAACACCCCTCTCAACAAAGTGATGGGTTGCTCCACTTCTCCCTGAGGCTTTCCTAGAGCTCTCTAAATGTCTCTTCTACTCCCTTTTCCTAGGGAGAGAAGCCAAGCAAAGGTGCAGCATGTTACGCTGAAACACGTTCTAATTTCAACCCCACGAGACAAAAACTGGAAGGAAGGAGTTTGGATCATTTTCCTGGGGGCAGCAGAAATAGGTGATACAAAAGCACTGGAGGAGAATGGGGCATCTGGAGACCTTGCCAGGAAGGCTCACCACATGCTGCCTTGCAGCAGAGCCTTCTGCTCCCCAGGATTTCTCCCCTCACAACCAAAATGCACCAGAAATGATGATGACGACCTAAATATGCTGCATGTGTTTGAGGCCTGCTCTCAAGCTCCTTCCTCTTCCCTCCAGCAAATGTCATCTGAGCTTCGAGGCCTCTCTCCTTCTAAAGCCCAGAGAGACTTTGCCAATCATCCTTATGTAAATTGAAAATTTATGCACACACCCCCATCCATGTGCTGCCATCCCTTCTGCTTGCTCATATACTCTGTCAGACATCTCAATTTTTCCAGTCAAGGCCTCTGTTTCCTAATGCAAACTTTTCCAGGCAAATTTTGAGGATATGTGTATCTATCTATTAAATCTAGGGCTAAAAAGGCAGAGGTTGGCACCAGTCCTTTGCCATTCTTGTAAGTGCCTCCCAAATTACATTCCATGGCTGTTCCCCAATATAGTGCCCCTAGGACAGTAACCTGGGAGCTCTATGCATGCACTGCAACCCGATCACCTTTCAAACTAAACTCTGTCTTAGGAGGAAAGAAATTGGAAGCTATAATTAAGTGTCAATACCCCACCTTTGTCAGAGTGGACTAACTCTGCTAACAAGGTTCTATTTGATATCTCTTGCATCATGACCCATGGCATTTTACTCGCATAAACTGAGCCAAGCAACTGCTGTCTGAGGTTATTCCCACAGCATACTCCTCAGAGGGGTATGGGTTCCCCATCCTTTGAAAAGAAACTGCAGGAACCACAGATTCCATAGTGCATCAAAGGAGGCCAGGAGATCACATGTGAAGACCTACAACAACTGGTGACGTATGAACCGCCCCAAAAAGTGCTGAAGCATATTGACTGTGCAAGGGGCCCAGTGATGGAGGAAGCAGCACTAAGCTTCGTCTCCTTTGTGCTTGGCTTCCATTTGAAATCTGCAGCAGCCACACAGAAAAACAGGGAAATGTGACCAACCCTAATTTACACCCATGAGTGATCCTGCATTCTCGTCAGTCCTGCCCAAACTTCAGCTAAAGGCACAACATAAACGGGAGGATAGTAATTATAGCAGCCAAATGGCTTTGCCAGTCCACTTAATCTCATTTTAGGTGCCTAATTAATATCCCTTGAAGGTGACGGTCTGTGATGTGCTTGTCACATGGATTAAAAAGCAAGCAACTGATAAAAAATAACTCTCTGTGGAAAGTCCTGTTTCTGACTATTCCTGGCACAGATCCAGCGGGCATCTGCTCTTGGCACACTGCTCCAAAGTAAAGTAGCCAAAGATCTAGGAGAAGATGCTGTTTCTGGTGAAGTTTGCAGCTGATGGAGACACAAGTGGCGTGGCACCTATGCAAACACACCATGTTGTGCCACACTTTCCACACATGGAGGATGCACAACAATTTTTGGAAAGTGGGGACTCACTGAAATGCATAAGAAGGACTCAGTGAAAACACCCCAGCAGTCCACAGGCGAGCCATGGGAGTGGGTGGTTCTCTCTGTGCAGCTCTAAATTAAGAGAGTATCATATTTTGGCTCTCTGGTACAGATAAGGTAACCACTTGTAACAACAGTAAAATGGTGGTAGATTGTAAACAGAAACTGCATCCCTCCACACTTCGAAGAAATTAGCAATTAAAGGGTTTTTAAAGAACAATTTCTACAACACCCTGCCTGAGTGGTGGTGCACCCTTCTCATCCTGCTTTTCCTGAATTCCATTCTTCCAGTGAAGAGAAGATTTATTCACAGCATGCAAATGCCTGGGGAGGGCAAGTTTCTGACTGTATGTGGCAGTAGGTGAGCCAGAGCGTTCGTTCCACTTCACATGGACCAAAAGGAAACCTTCTTCTTTCTTCCTTTATGATGGTTTTCACTAACTTAAAAAAAAACCCAAACAAACAAACAAACCCCACAAAACACAAAAAACAAACAAACAAACAAACAAAACCACAAGAGGTCAGGGTCAGTTTCAAACTGAAAGCTCCTCATGAAACAAGAAAGCAAAGGAATTAATTTGGAAAATGTCAAAATGTGTTGTTTCTGCTTTCAGGAACTTTTAATCCCCTATTTTCAATTATAGACATTTGTCACTTTGGATCAAATTCCAGAAATAATTTAGTTTGCCACCAAAGCACACCTTTACTGGCCAAGGTGTGTGCCTGGAAACTCCAGCTGTGTTGCTCACCCTGCTTGCCTGTCATCATGATGCTCCTGTGGGGGTTTGTTTGTAAACATCACTGTATGAGAACTACCTGGGCAAGTTTCAACCGTGGTCCAGAACTACCTTTACCAAATCCATCTCCTTCAGCTATAGCAGATCTTTCAAAGGGAGGAAGCAAGAATCTTAAGGGTACATAATTCAATTACTGATGAACTAGTAACTAAGACATCCATGGTCTGATTCCTTGCTGACAGACTTCTCTTTCAAAAATGTAAGAAGTCCCCAAGCAAACAGTGCAGAGCTGTCATCGAATTTGGAGATGTGTAGCTTCGAATGTTTAAGGATTTGGGGGTTTTGTGCACAAAGGCTGTAATGAGTCACTTAAGTCTCCAGTGCCAGAGTCAAAGCAGGGTAGCACTTAACAGCAAAGCAAAGGTTCCACCAGCACTGGTGTTTGACATGGTAACTCCCCTGCAAATTGGCCAGGCTGCCAATCAGATCCCCCTGATCTCACAAGAGAGGAGTGTGAGGACACCAGAAGCAACGACCTACCTAGTGGTTCCTGGGCAGGGATTGCACATGAGCCCAGCTCCAACCCCCCTTTTCTCTGCAGTAGTTGGTGTCCAGGGCTCAGGCTCACCCTGGGCACATGGAGTTAAAAACCCTTGTCTTCAGGATCCTTTATGCAGTCTGTTGAGCTGAGGGCATAGATTCCAACAGCTGGGATTCTAACATTGTCCTTTCCCCTGTGGCTGGGGACCTGGAGAGATGGTCTGCTCCACAGAAGACTGTTAAACAGCAGTATCAGACTCATCAGTAGGATTTTCTCCATCTCCAGAAAATATAAATTCCTTTAATGGCAGAATCACAGGCACATGATAAACAGCAGTCTCTATCTTGCTGGTCTGCTTTTATAATGATTTGAGTGCTTGCCTTCTCCAGGGAGAGCTGATTGCCAGCACAGATAGGAAGTATTCCATACTTATTCCATTCAAAACATGGCAAATGGGGTTTGGTCCATATGGATCCTAGTGGGTATGCTCAGAGAGGGCCTTTTACCTGTAACTGGGTTTCTTCATGCTGTTGCAGCAGTGACTGACATGCAGCTGATCGTGGTTGCAGCAGGAGAAGGGAGCAACATCTATGAGCTTTGAGGAGACACCAAACTGCTAAGGACAGGAGCCATGTCAGGGGTGAACCTCGCACTGTAGAGGAGTGAATTGCTGAACTGTATGAACAAAACCTAGCATTCCTGTTTCCACGGGTAGAAAACATCATCTGCCACCAGGAAAATAACATATTTTTACGTGAAAAGAAAACAAATATGCAGACAGAGCATTCACTCAACTACTTGCTGGTCCTGTTAACGTTTTTTGTCACAAAATCACAGATTATTTATGAGGGAAGTAATTGCCAGAGATCTTTGGTCCAACCTCCTGCTAACTCCAAAGAGAACAGGTTGCCCATCACCTTGCCCTTGCAGAGTCTGTTGATGCCCTTCAGCTGTGGCAGTGAGAGCCTGTCATCCAAACCCCTCCGTGCCTTGGCCCTGAGACTGCCTGTCTGACTGTGGCAGCATTGGATGCTGGGGCATGGCTTGGGTTGGGACTCTGGTTTGCCCAGTGTTACACAGTGCTCTGCCTGACTCGGTCCTGCTGTCAGTGCCCGTGAAGAGCCTGCAGCTGGTGGCTCTAGGGCTCCTCAGAGCTCAAAGGAGCTTCCAAAACTGAGCTTGTGGTCTGATTCTGGGTGGGAAGGAGGATCCCTGAATGGGGACCATGTGGAGCTTCAAGCACTGCACTCATTGGTGGAGCTTCCCAGGGCTGCTTCTCAGGACACCCTGTTTCCAGTGGTGTTGGTGGAATTAAAAAAAAAGATAAGTGGAAAGAACATGACAATCAGTAGCTTTTTGAATTAAAATAGGGGAAAGGAACAGCCCTGTTTCACTGCTAAGGCCTTGTTTCACTTTTAATTTGGTATGATCAGCTCCTGTACAGAGCTGTTGACAATACTGATGACGTACATGATTAATTATTAAAACAATAATTAAGAGGCTGAGCTGTGAGATGAGACACCTCTGTCCAGGGTACAAACACAGCAGAGAAAGGTAGAACAAGAACAGGGCACAAGTTGCTGGGGAGACAGCAGTAAGACAGCTTTGCTCACCTGCTAAGTCTAAATAATTGTCTTCAGGTTTTCATAGGTACTTCAGAAAGGAAAGCTTTAAAGAGAAAATTCAGGAGAAATTTAAGGAGAAATTTCAGGAGGGGATTGATAACCTGTGAATAAAGCATTGAGAAAGGGAAATGATGTTTAACCAGTGGAACAGACAAGAGATGTGGAAAATCTTTGTTTCTTTTTATCTTTTTCTCCTAACAGGAAAGCTTATTTCAGGTTAATGCTGTCAGACATTTTAGAGTCTGTATAGGAAAACTACATAGTTGTGAGCATGACTGTGAGAAGATCCTGCAAGGTTGGCTAGTTGCTTTTAAGGGTAGGACTTTAATTTTATACGTTGTGAATATCACAAAGTTGATTGAAGCCAAAATTCACAGATGGAAGGGAAAAAGACAGCAGCCTCCTCTTAAGAGGGAGGATTATTCTGTCACACACGGCACAATAGAGACCTCTTCTTTTACTACTTTAACAAGTTTTGCTTCATGCTGGCATTCCTGCTTCAGAAAGGCACTGTCATGGGAAACGGATTCTGCCTGGAGACGACACATTGTTCAGGATATCCCTTCCACCTCCGTGTGCTATTCAGCATTAACACAGCCGTGAGCAAAACCCTGAGACTATTGAAATTTCTTTTCCTCATCCCCCCCTTTCTCTTTGACAAATGTGTGACAAGTATGCAATTGTCTGAAAGCCCAGCGATGGAGAGAACAGAGAGCAAAGCCTTAAGATGTGCCTCAGTGATTTAG